GACAACTCCAATAACAGCGACAAACATTTCACATATTTAAAAAAAATTGACATTGGAGACCTAGAAGCTGCACTGAGCGTTACTTACACACACACAGATACACGCGCACACACATACTGCGTCGCGCCCCGACGGTGCAAAACCGTTCAAAACCCATTAAAGCAACAATTATTAATAATACTTACAGGTTGTGATTCGAAGGAGGAAGCTGATCCATATACACTGGGTAAGTAAGTTACTGAGCCCTCCTTCAGGAACAACCGCTTGCGAATCCACATTTGAATTCATATGTTTTTGAACGATTAATTAAAATGATGAGAACACAATCGGGCTATACTGTTGTGGTATCGTTGCAAATATGAACTCTAACCACCGATTCTTCACATGCTCGTCGCTGGTAAATGAAAACAAAGTGGCTGAACTATCTTTGCATTGTAGAACACAGCGTCTTCTCGACATGATGCGATGATGAAGTATTTGAATGTGTAGACTTCAAGTTTACACTTCAGTCTGCGCGCGCAGTAACTGGGCGCGGCCAATGTGTCTCTACGTCACGACAAACCAGCTAATGACTCGTTTCAAAAACAATTCATTTCATAGACTCTCACTTTTGAAAGACAATCACTTTATATACGGTGCACTTTCAGATATAAATCTTTGCAGGATGTTTTCATTCCCTTAGAGCTATATTCCACACCATATGAACAGTCATTTTCAAAAATCCATAATAGGGGCTCTTTAAGATATTAATGAAATATGTTTAACTTAAAGGTATTGTTCACCCAAAAAGGGAAAAAAAATTAGTCATTAATTACCCTCATGTCGTTCCAAACCCATAAGACTTTCGTTCATCCTCAGAACACAAGTGAAGATCTTTTTGATGAAATCTGGGAGTTTTCTGTCCCTCCATTGACAGCTACAACTGACGCATTGATGCTTCAAAAAGTTCATAATGAGATCGTAAAACTAATCCATATGGATCAAGCCGTTTTGTCCAAATTTTCTGAAGTGACTCGATCGATTTATATGATGAACAGATTGAATTTAAGCTTTTATTAACATATAAACATTCATCATCTCACACATCAGTCGAGGTAAACGGAAGCTCAAGCATGTTTGCTTGACTTGAGATAACCAATGAGGTTCATTCTCGTGTTACGCATCACGTTTGAGATTCAGCAAAAACCAATGAGGTTCATTCTTGTGTTACACATCACGTTTGAGCTTCAGCAAGAACCAATGAGGTTCATTCTCGTGTTACGCATCACATTTGAGGTTCAACAAGAACCAATGAGGTTCATTCTCGTGTTACGCATCACGATTGAGCTTCAGCAAAAACCAATGAGGTTCATTCTCATGTTACGCATCACATTTGAGCTTCAGCAAAAACCAATGAGGTTCATTCTCGTGTTACGCATCACATTTGAGGTTCAACAAGAACCAATGAGGTTCATTCTCGTGTTACACATCACGTTTGAGCTTCAGCAAGAACCAATGAGGTTCATTCTCATGTTACGCATCACATTTGAGCTTCAACAAGAACCAATGAGGTCTTGTGTTACGCGTCACGTTTGAGCTTCAGCAAGAACCAATGAGGTCTTGTGTTACGCATCACACACATTCTTGTGTTACGCATCACATTTGAGCTTCAGCAAGAACCAATGAGGTTCATTCTCGTGTTACGCATCACATTTGAGGTTCAACAAGAACCAATGAGGTTCATTCTCGTGTTACGCATCACATTTGAGCTTCAGCAAGAACCAATGAGGTTCATTCTCGTGTTACGCATCACATTTGAGGTTCAACAAGAACCAATGAGGTTCAATCTCGTGTTACACATCACGTTTGAGCTTCAGCAAGAACCAATGAGGTTCATTCTCGTGTTACGCATCACATTTGAGCTTCAACAAGTACCAATGAGATTCAATCTCGTGTTACACATCACATTTGAGCTTCAACAAGAACCAATGAGGTTCAATCTCGTGTTACGCATCACGTTTGAGCTTCAACAATAACCAATGAGGTTCATTTTTCGTGTTACGCATCACGTTTGAGCTTCAGCAAGAACCAATGAGGTTCATTCTCGTGTTACGCATCACGTTTGAGCTTCAACAATAACCAATGAGATTCATTCTCGTGTTACGCATCACATTTGAGCTTCAGCAAGAACCAATGAGGTTCATTCTCCTGTCAAGTATGTTCGAGTGAGCTTCTGTTTATGTTCGAGGACAGAAAAAAAGTGAAATAAATGAAGACTGCAGAAAGAGGTGCCGGTGAATATGAAGGAGGTAAAAAGAGAGAGAAGAAAGCGTGTGAGAGAAGAAAAGGGCCGAGACAGAAGATGAGCTGCAGGGGCACTGACCAGCTAGAAATGAGAGAGAATGAGAGGGCAGACACAAAGATTGAGGTGGTGCATGAAGTGATGAATAAAGAAAGGGAGACGAAGGATGAGTGGGAGGAACCAGTGGACTCCGAGCAAGAGATAGATGTGCTGAGGTCAGACGCTGAGAGAGGGAGGACGGAGAGGTAGCTGGAAAGAGAAAAAGGATAAGACGAACAGGAAAGAGGCGAGGGAGGAGAGAGGACGAGAGCCAGCAGATGTCACAAAATCATTCATCAAGCTCCAAAACACTTCACCTCCACAATTCACAAGAAGAGAGCTATGAAGGCGTACTTGACATATCCACCCACCGCAAGACACCAAAGAATCCAATGTGCTTACCACACGAGCCAATCGTACCAGACACGGATTCATCTACTGAACTCAACAGCCCAAACAAGCCCGCCACAGTCACTGTCACTGTCACTCTCTGTCGTCCAAATCCAGATCTGTTCAGCAGTGCAGGCACAACCATCTGTGCTGTTCGAAAACTCTGTCACTTTCTGCTGTCTGAGTCCAGGCTGCGTCTTGTGGCCGAGCTGCTGGAGAGACTCTTGCTGAGCTTCTAACCCAGCATGGCATCTCTCTGAGGGGCTCTGGGCCACTACGCTATGCCTTTGCCCAGGCCTTGATGGAGCGTGAATTTTTGGGATGCCAAAAGAGTCTTTAGTCTGTATGAAAAAACACTTAAAGGGCTCACAGACACACAATTACAGGATGACTTTCGGTGGTGCTGGTGGGGGGTTCTGTTGGCATCTATAGTGCACAAAATGACCATCAACAATGTTTAACTTCACCCTGTAGTTAGTAATTGTGTCCCTTAAAGGGATAGTTCACTTTGAAATTAATTTTTGATATGTTTTATCTTACCTCAAGGGCATCTAAGATGTAGGTGTCTTTGTTTCTGCAGTATTTTCAATTTTGATATTTTTTAGGTCAATCCATTCTTGTCTGTCAGTCATATAATGGAGGTCTATGGTCACCACCTCAAGGAGCATGCACAGAGAAGTCCAAATTAAACATGATTTAATGACTCGTAAATGTAAGTACACATTGATGGCCTAAGACATGAAACGAGCGGTTTGTGTGAGAAAACGAACAGTATTTATATCGTTTTTACCTCGTGTAACCACAGCCACGTCGAAGTGATCTCTGATCTGAAGATCTGAAATCTCTGTGTAAACAATGAGTGACGGACATGCGCGAGAGATCACTTCTACATTTACGAGTCATTAAATCATGTTTAATTTGGACTTCTCTGTGCATGCTCTTTGAGGTGGTGACCATAGACGTCCATTATATGACTGACAGACAAGAACGGTTTGACCTAAAAATATCAAAATTGAAAATACTGCGGAAACAAAGACACCTACATCTTGGATGCCCTTGAGGTAAGATAAAACATACCAAAAATTAATTTCAAAGTTTAAAACTTTAAACTCATCTTTGATCACCAAAATTATGTAAAAGTTTTTTTCCAGTGAAATAAAATTCTTTTTCCTTAAAATTGTAAAAATGAACAAATCTTTTTTCGTGTCGTTTGGTTCATTCAACGAACGAAATGAATGAGTTTACTCGGGAAAAGATTTGTACATTTTGATAAACGAGTTCGAACAGCAGAGTCACGAACGTGCATCACAGAACAGAGCAAGGCGAGCATTTGAGCTTATAAAACTTAAACTTTGTTTTTTGTTTTTTTTTAATTGAGCGATCGTTTCACTTGATAAGACCCTTATTCAACATCTGGAATCGTTTAAAGCCCTTTGAACAGTTTTTAGTTTGCACTGAAACTCTCTTTTGGACCTTGCACCGTTTGGTTACCATTGAAGTCCATTATATGGAGAAAAATCCTGGAATGTTTTCATCAAAAACCTTCATTTCTTTTCGACTGAGGAAAGAATGACGTGGATATCTTGGATGACACAGGGTGAGTAAATTATCAACTACTCCTTTAACAAAAATAGTTCCCAGTTACTGGTGCAAACTAGCCAAAAATTGGTTACTTATACCAATAGTTATAGGAACTATGAAAACATTCCTCCACCTAGCAAGTACCAGTAAGAAAGAAAGAAAGAAAGAAAGAAAATTCATGAATGTAGATATTTGAGAGGAAAGAAGAAACTAGATATTTTAATCAAAATACAAAATGTGTCATTTTAGACACTAAAGCCCCTTCAAAAATGAACACTGCCCGAACCCCTGTGTAATCTGCACCCTGATCCCAGGGCAACATGCTCAACCTGCTGGTGTTCAAAAAAGAAGGCAATGGAAGAGCTTACGTAAATGCACAACTGAGGAATGTTTTAAAGAATAAAAACCATAGCTCAGTGTCCTAAGACACATAAAACTGCATTCCAAACCATGACTGCAATTTCAGTTCAAACACAATTTCCATTAAAAGGAAAATAGCTTTCCCTCTGAATGAGAATAATCTATGACCTATGGTTGGTTCTCATTATGCTAATGTCATCTCTGGATATCTTCCATTAGCTTTCTAAATGAGTGTTATCTACATTGTGGGTTATAGAATATTTATCTATAACGTGATATTTTGGAATTGCATTTCACACACTCATAACGACCGTGCGGGAATTGATACGTACAATATTTAGACTATTACCTGTAGATTAATCGCGCTGCTCATCTTGGCTCTCGGGAGGGATAATGCCATACTTGTGAAGTTTAGTTTCCCCATCCACTTCTCCACCTGATCCAGGGTCAGCAGACGATCCAGCCGAGCCAAACTCTCCACATGGAAGGGCAAAAGCAGCACCATGCTGGCCTTCCCTTCCCACAGGCCCAGTTCCAACACCTGTACCATGTTCCCAATGTCCTCGTAGTGACGGTATACACCTGAGAAAACAGACATTTGGTGGTTTAGATGTCTTAGATGTGTGTGTGCCAATGAAAAATAACTGTTGGGACTTACCGGATCTGTGCATCATGGGAACTTTAGAGTATTTGGTGCCCAGGAAGCTGCGCAAATCTTGGCTTTCATGGTGAAAGCCTCGATCCCAAAACCCTACAAACAGAAAAATCCATTAAAAACACATGCGAACAGTGGATAAATGAACATGACTTGGACGCCATGGGAGGCATTTTAACGTCCTGACACAAACTATTAGAGAACATCGAGTACTATTATCTTACATTACTAATCTTACAGCCAAACTCATTGTTGGATCTGACATACACTGAGACCTTGATGAGTCATATCATACAAAAGAACATCACAGACACCATGCCAGAAAAAGAGCGAAAGATAAAAGAAAGAAAAGGCAAGAGGAGGGGTGCAGGGGAGGCAGAGGCATAGGACGTATTATTACAGCCCATTACACCCATTAAATTCACTGACAAAGATGAGATTCGATAAAGAGACTATTAGCAGTATTACAGTCACATGTTCTTTTCCACAGTCTTTCCACCTTATTGGATTAGTCAAGGGAAAGATAAAGAATAAGAGAAAAAGAGAGAACGAAAAAAGCAGTAGACTCAAATCAAACACTAAGGATGATTGCAAGACAATATGGGGTTAAGCCAGGCCATGTTATTGTATTTTGCTGCACCAGAAGCACTGTATTGCTCTTCAAGACAAAAACATAAGACAGTCAGTGGCCTCTGCAACTCAATTTGAACCTAGACACTTGTTATTTAGACCTACAGTCACCCCAGAAACTATTTGGACACTTTAGCCACATATAAAATGTCAAAATATCACTGTGTCGGATAAAAAACGTATCAAAGTTCCATCAGAAAAAAATATGCTAAAATAATTTTACTTTTTGTGCCATTTTTGCAATTGTTTTAAAACACCACCAGTGTAGATGATCACAATAAAGGGGTCATGAATTTGATTATTTCATTACTTTATGTTCCTTGAGGTTCACTTATAATGTTAATAAAACAAATATACACTCTTAGAAGAAAAGGTTCTATATAGAACCTTAAAAGGTTCTATAAGCGCTACGTATTTGGAACCCCTAAAAGGTTCTATACACTCTTAAAAAAGGGTTCCTCTGGGTTCTATATAGAACCCTGGGGTTCCATACTTGGCCAATAGAACCTTTTACCAAAAAAAAATGGTTCTATATAGAACCATTTTGGAGTTCCATATATGAAGCGGGGGATGGAACCATTTCTGGTTCTAAATAGAACCATTTCTTCTAAGAGTGTATAAACTATCGATTTCAACCCTCATTCTGAGCCTCTGTCTGTTTTTAAGGCACGGCTCCTTTAAGGCTCGTCAGTAAACGGCCACTGTTATGATTGGCTAACGTCACTGCATAGAAAACAGTGTCAACGCCTACTCTCTATTGAGCACAGGTTATGTGATGCAGCTGCTGTCAGATTCAATACAGTCACTGCTTCATCTTTCAACAAGAGTTTCTTTGTGAACTCTCCATTACACTGAGCCTCGTTTACCCCCCCAAAAAGCTCAGAATAAACATATAATCCTCTGACGTGATCCGGGACGACATTAAAATAAATCACCCACTTGTTTATGACGCTGGAATCCTTCTGAAGTCTCTACAGAGACACAAACAAGTGGTTTAAAGTACCAAGTGAAAGTTCTTCCACTCGTCCATTAGTCAAGTTGTCGACAGACTCAAGTGTGTGGAGTTCGTCAGAAACTGAACACACGTCTGTAAAGTTTATCAGTGTAGACAGTGTCAGTGATGATAATGGGTTTTATGTTTTTGACGCAAAACTCACATCCTGTCAAGCGACTCGTTAAGCGAATGAACGCCAATGGGCGGAGCCTATGAGGAGATGATGTAGAACTATTTGTCGATGTCTTCCTCTGAGGCAGTCATATGCAAATGTATTTGCCCGATTTCTCATTTCATGACCCCTTTAACTTTGAACATAGACACTAAAGATACTTTCAGATTATGTACTTAGATCAGAAAAGTTTGTCCGACTATCCATGATTAAGAGCTCTAACATTCAAAAGTTTGAGGTCAGATTTTTTTGGGAGGAAAATAAATGATTGCTTTTATTCAGCATGCATTCACAATATAGATCAAAAGTGACATTCATAATGTTACGAAATACTTAGATTTCCTTTAAATGCTGTTCTTATAAACTGTTAAAAGATTACAGTTTCTAAAAAAACGTTAAGCAACACAACCGTTTTCAACATTGATACTAATAAGTAATGTTTCTTCAGCAGCAAATCATCAGATTAGAAAAATTTCTGAAGGATCATGTGACAATGAAGACTGGAGTAATGATGCTGAAAATTCAGCGTTGATCACAGGAATAAATTATATTTTAAAATATAAACCACACAACATTCTTTTCATACAATATTTTGCTTGATAAGTGGACTTAAGGCTATTTTTCTTTGAACAAAATTCATGAATGTTCCATTAATAAACGACACTCGTTTCTTACTTTGTTATCGGATGCAATGGCATTCATACATTTTGAAATGTGGCTTGCATGTTAAAAATATCATTTCGGGTCCATTTGTATATATTTACTGGCCAGTATTAGAAGAATCTCTAGCCCCTTTGTAATTTGGTGTTAGTTTTTCACTTTCCCATCAAAGTCACCTGATCGCACATCTGTATTTATAGCTTTAGTAGTTTATCCAGGCCTCAGTTTTGTTGTGCCTTAAAAAGGAATGTGCCACCCAAGATGAAATTTCCATAATCGCCTTTAAACACTCCTGGTCCCAAAACCACTGCTTTCAGCATTAAACATCCTCAACCGGAGGAATTCAAAACATATTCCTTACAGATAATTAGGAATACCTTTAACAAAAACAGAAAACAAACAGAGACAGAAACTTGGTTAGAAATCCTCTTTAAAGAAAAGCGCCTAGTTTTACGAACCCGAGACGAGACGCTCAACCGTCATTGCTTATGAGAAACACCTGATCCTGTGTAAGGAAAGCAAACCTCTCCGGTCGGCCCCGTGCCAAGCTTTGCATGCGCCTCAATGGTATGTTAGCAGTTCCCTTTGAGCTTGTGAACACAAGCCAAGAGCCAGAGCAGTCGGATTTCAATAATTATACAGGGGGATGAAATTTGATCAGTCTAAAGTTCAAAACACATGGCATGGTATCTGTCAGTTATTATGGGGTGGCAAAGCTCTTGGAACTGCGAGCATTAAAGGGGGAATTCTGCCATGCGAGTTTCTGAAATGCCACACACAAGGATTCTTGTCACTGCGGTCTTGGCTGGCAATCAAAAGAAAGAAAAACATCCTGGGAGATTCTGTGACTGAAAGAGAGAAACAGTGACCCGACGAGCATTCGCAAGAGAGAGACGCTCATACCTTCTTCATTAATTACAGAGCGTAAAGACAATGCGGCTATTGTGTGGTTTTGCATCTTGAAACCTCTCTCATGCCCATTTTCACTAATAACCGTGCCACAAACAATAAAGCTAAAACGCGTTGATTTAAAGCACTCGCCAGATCCTTTGGTGCTCTGCTTTTTGGAGGTGAAGTGTATGAGCTTGTTTTGGGGTTTGCTGTGCAGAGCACAAAGACTGAGGTAATGAGCTGAGCGAGTGTTGTGTCTGCCACCACAACACACCCCGAATGGGCCTACAGTTCTCGTTAAACCAAAAATCTCGTGTTTTTTTTTTCCCTTCACACCTGTGGCTCGCCATTTGCCCCCTGCTATGAGCTCCAACCCAGTCCTCCATGGTGTCTGGCTGTTTGTTGCAGTGAACCTGGAATTATGAATTGTACATGCACTAAGCATGTAGCCTGTACGGAAGTGAATCCCCTAAATTATCGTTACAAGTGTGTACGAAACACAATTCACTCCTGAAATTGGGATGATTGACGCCATAGTAAAGTTCTGGCGTCTCGCGGGTTTGGATCCATTTTTAATTAGAGGTGTAATGACACCCTCATGTCACGATTCGATACATATCACGATACCGAACTCACGATACGATACTCCAAGACATATGGTTAAAGGTTAACAGAAAATGTACTGTTGATTAAAATGCTAAATTTGATATTACATTGTGTGTGTAAATGAATAGGCTTGGACTTGGTGCTGATAACCCAATGCACAGGACAATTAGTGACACCAGAATAACAATATTCATGATTCTGAAGCTGAAAATACTGAATTATTTTTGACGAATATGCTTAGACTCGGTCACTGACAAGATATATTTAAATAATCTAGGCCATTTTACTGGTACACACAAATATAGGGTTTCTGTAAGTTTCACAAAGTCAAATTTAAGACTTTTTAAGACGATTATGAATGAATTTACGATTATGAATGAAAAAAAAAAAAAAAACGTACAAAGGAAACGTGTAACGAGTCTCAAAATTATTCGCAAAGTAATTTAATTTATTCAAACTGAAAATCAGCACGAACCGTCCCGTGATTTTGGAAATTAGTTCCGTTTCTGTTTTTATAAAATTCACTATTCCAAAGTGCGTAATGTAAGCCGTTTTATCTTTTCCGCACCTGAAGGATTTAGCGATGTTTCCGGAAACATCATTTAAAACAATGTAGGGCTGGTGTCTTGTCACCGTGTGGAGAACCCAGAGCACCTCTGCTTTTAGTGTTGGCTCTGATGATCCAAAAGCAAAACCCAAATCAGCAAAATCTGATCCAAAATTCAGATATTTCAAGCCAAGAATCGCTAAACTTCCACTTCCCCATTGCTGAATAAAATCCGTGTGTGTGGTATCTGGGATATGCATGCGCCAATAACACTAAAACCTAAAAACTGATTGGCTGTTGCATGTTGGTCGGTCTATTTTGTTGTTGTAATATATTTGAACTAGCAAAATAAAGAGCTACTACCATGGAATAAAAAAAAAAAAACACATTCCAAAGCGCTGCGGGAACATTTCAACGAGATTTTCAATGGACGTAGGAAAATTAAGACACGTTTAAAATTATTTAAGACCTAGAACCCAATACTTTTATCAATACCCAATTTAAGACTTTTTAAGGCCTTAAATTGTGATTTTGAAATTTTAGACTTTTTAAGACCCCGCGGAAACCCTGAAATATTCCCTCATTGCAATATTATACATTATATATAGTAGTTTATTGTAGTGCTGACACTAAAACTCTGTAAACTTGATTTTTTTTTTCCTCGCACGGTAATTTTTATTTTGGGTGAACTATCCACAATACATATTGTTGCGTTTTTGTATTGCTATATATTGTGAATGAAACGAACGATATATTGTTATTTGTTACACCCCTATTATCAATATTACAGCAACAAAATACTCATTATATACTGCAATTTTAACATAACCATCGTCTACAGAGTTTCATTTATGTTTGAAGTGTCGCCATGTCCACTTATTAAAAGCATTTTTGGGCTTGTTGTTTGAGCTTGAGTCATAAAGTAGGTAGGTCTGGGTCATAATTTTTTGCTATTGTTTTCAATATTTTTTTTTCAATATTATTATTATTTATATACTCGCTTTATTTTGGGCTTTTTCGCTTTTCAAGGAAGATCTGGCAACACAAATGAATCAAGACATACAGAAGCGGGACACATCTCTGATGCACGATAAAGTGTCATAAACAAGCTGTTCGGTTCAGCACACACTGCATAGATTATTTGGGAGTTAATTCGGTTGTAGAATGCAGTTTTCACTCCCGTAAAAAAACTGTGTATGGAATGGGAACAAGCATTAAAAGGGGAAAATTTAACTGCATTGTGGACGTGGCCAATAAAACATTTGTAACTTACTCTCTACTAAAAAAAGCTAACTATTAATTTAAATCCACTTGAAGCGGCCCATGCATGATTGAACGGTCCAGGAGAACAGAGAAAACTGCTCTCAGATTAACAACCAGAGTAAAAGTCCACAAACGCCCCATCAGAGAGGCAATGAAAAAGCTTCGGACAAAGTTAATATTGCACAGGCGACTAAATGAATTACTATAGAACCCTGAAGCGGTGCGACTACTGACTGCTTTTAAATTATAAATCCAAACTATGAATTCAATTTTCATAATCTCATTCACAGGACCCAATCTATTGTCTGATCTAATTTGTATATTTCATCGGCTGAATTAATGAACGTCCACCGACTCCCGCTTCTTGCTTGAGAATGGGGGAAAAAAATATGTAATTAAGTCAAAACATAAAACAAAAGAAATTAATTAGATTGCTTATCAACCTAAAATCAATCCAAACTTTATTTCCTGTTGCGTTTGGTGGTAGAGAGAAGCTCTCCTCCCACCGCTCCGTTCCCATCGCTCTGTGTTTAAAATAGGATCAAAGCACCTGCCAGTATTACTCAGACAAAGAAATCGATGAGTAGAACAAGACTCCAGCATGTGGGTGAGACAATGCACAAAAAAAAGAGAAAGAGAGAGAGAGAGAGACAGATCTCCAGTGAAGTAGAACAGAAAATAACACCGGCATGTTAAAAACTCATTTTAAGCCCTTCAAGCATATTTAACATCTCTTCTTGGAAATGACAAGAAGCATAAGTATTGTTGAACTGTCTCTGATTTGACTAAACATGGCACTGCACAGCTTTGTGTGAATACAATATTACCACTATTACTGCTCAATAATAATAAGACAAGAAAACTACCATCTCTAGAGTGTGTCAAAAAATGTTCCTTTCAGGTTTTAAATGTCTGAACATGGGTTCAAGGTTAAACATACTAAATCAGAGCCTAGGCTTAGTGGTTAACATGCATGCACGCTCTTACACACTGAACCACAGGGCTCATATGGACAGCTACTGTAGCTCAAGCAGTAGAGAATGGCGCTAGCAACACCAAGGTCACGGGTTCGATTCCCATGAATAATGCATGAACTGATAAGTTGCTTTGGATAAAGTGTCAGCTAAATGCATGTGAATATATAATATAGTAATTAGGGCTGTCAAACGATTAATCGCATCCAAAATAAAAGTTTGTGTTTACATAATATATATGGGTGCACTGTGTATAATTATTTTATATATGAAGAGTTCAGATGCAAAAGCCTCTAAATGCCATTTAAAATTTCCTTCTTTAATAATGATTTTTTTAATCAAACTTGTATATTTAAGTTCAGTAATTTCACTTAAATAACAATTAATAGGTAATTATCATTGCCATTTAAGTAAAATCACTCAACTTAAATATACAAGCTTGATAAAAATGATCATTCTAGAAGAAAATTTCAAACGGCACTTAGAGGCTTTTGCAATTGAACTCTTCATATACACACACACGCACACATGCTTGTATATATTTAAGAAATATTTTCATGGTTTTACTGTATATAGATTTAAATACATTTTATATTATATATAAATATCAAAATTTTATGTATAAATAATATTTTTTTCTTAAATATACATGCATGTGTGTGTATTTTTATATATACAAAATAATTATACACAGTGCACCCACATATATTATGTAAACACAAAATTTTATTTTGGATGCGATTAATCGTGATCAATTGTTTGACAGCCCTAATAATAATGTATTAGATGCAATACCCTCTAAAAAGAACAAAAAATACAGAAGACATGTTTATTTCAGACATGGCAAAGAAAATGCCATCCACGTAATTAAACATGCAATGCAAAATTAATGCATGTCAATTGTTTCGCTTAAGACCCGATTGTATCTTCAGGAGCCACGGGTATATTTTGTTTTGCCTAGTTTAGTTTTTTTACTCCCAAAGTGACGGTAACAATCGACTTGCATTATATGTGAGTAACCAAGGACCAGTTTCAACTAAAAATCCTTACTGTTCTTCTGAAGAAAAAAGCCACCAATATATCTTGGATTGCCTGAGGGTGAATTAAATTAACAGCATTTTTTCAGTTTTGTGTGAACTACCCCTGGCAAAAGCCACTCACTGCAGGACAGGAGATGCAGACGATCATTACTACATTATTTAAGGTGACACACCTCTCCTGGGAAGATTAATAGGCTTTTCCTGACATACATGGTGTGTCATCAACCCCGAACGTGTGAACCATCACATATGTGAAGAATAATTTTGTCGTCGTTTGTCCAGACCCATTCAAAAAAGCGTTTGTAAACCATTTGATTGTAGTTTGGCAACTGTAATAAACTCACTGTAAAAGTTCAACAAAATGAATCAGACTTCCCGTCGTGAACACAAACAGGTGTGTATACAGTACACATATAAATACAAACACATACGTTGTAAACACATGGTCCTCACAGGTGCGTCTGCTACACCAACATAAATCAATATAATCACACACGTGTGTTTTGCACACCCCCTGAAGTGTGATACCTTATCCTCCAAGCTAATTTTCGCCTTCAGCATCAGTCGTGCAACTGCTTACACTACATTTATCAAGCAGGAGCACAATCTGTACTAGCTAGGCTAATTCTCCAGCACGCAGACGAGCAGAAGCCCTGCTCCGTCTGATCCCGCTTGGCTCAAACATCAGTTCTTGCCCTTTCTTTTAAAAGAAAAATGTAAAAGTGTTTTAACTCCCAATGACCCTGGAATTGGTTATGAAAATGTTACCCATTCACATTATTAAAACAGTTAATGGTTGCCTCAAATTAGTTGAGTTGCAACTCAGTGAGGATTTCGATTAATCCCAATGACTCTTTTGAATCAGTTCACCAAAAAGATTCGTATACTGATTTGTATTTTTTGGGGGGATTAAAATAAAAAAGTTGATCGAGTCTCTTCAGAAAATTTGTAAAACGAATCCATACGAGCGGTTTAGTCCAATCTCTTTATGAACTTTTTGAAGAGATACTACTTTTGTCAGATACTGTTTTTTTGTGTGTGTGTGTGTCTACTATATAATAGGAAAGTATGTGATTTCAGATGCGGCCATTTTTTGCTGAATGAATCAGTGTTTTTGAACAAATTGCTTTAATCAATGATTTAAATCCCACATGAATGTCCCGATGCTGTTAGAATGTACATCAGCCCTCCAGGAAAGCCGCTCTACCAATCAGATTACGGAGCCGCACTATTAACAAACTATTATTTCAAATTTACAAATCTACAAATTTTTCATGTCTACAAATAATTAAAACACCGATTAGTTCACAAACAAAGCATCGCTAGGAACTCAAATGATAAAAAAAATAATAGTATTCACTCCCGACAGGCCATTTAAGTAGAGCCGGGTTTTCCAGTGCATCAGGCAAGACGAGGCCATGAATTTTGCAATGCAGTCTGGCCACTGTCCAAACACATAATGGACCATAAAGCTTCAAGATTAGACACAACTATCCAGATCCTCCAAGTAGACAAGCCGCACCTTCAGTAAAACTCAGTCTAATGCCTAATGTTTCTAAAGCATCTAATTCACAAAAGCTTTTTAGTCCTTCTTCATCTTCATCATATGTCCTGTGATATGTCATTTTCATTCAGTGTTGAAAATAACTTTTATATTTGAATAAATTGTGCTCTACCATTATATAAAGCCAGCTAAACTCGTTTCCAACTCATTCTTTCTTCTCACCTTTAAAGCGCAGTGCATTGGCGAGGATCATGGCTCCAGGTTTGGTCTCGAGCGCTCGTTCCAGAGCTGCCGTCTCTTCCCCATCCATCCCATTTTTAGCCCAGGACTGGAGCATCTCCATGTCAGTCTCCTTCTGTGCATCCTCCAGGGCCACATGCTGCAACCCAAAGTGGGTCTGGAGCTTCTCCAGAAAGCTCTTCTCCAGTTCAGCGGCTTGTTTGGAAAACAGTGCGGAGGAACTGTGCAACGTGTTGCTGGTTCCATTAGCTTCACGCAGAGATTTCAGCGCACTGGTCAAAGCTTCTCCAACCGCTTTCTCATTTTTGGTGATCCCCAGGAGATCATGAAACTGGGCTAGTGTGGATCCATTAGCTCCACCTCCTAGAGCCAACAGAGAGTTGGCCAACAGAAGCGGGGAGATGATGGTGTAGGTCTTGGAAGCGTCGATGTCGATGCGGAGCGACCTGTACAGCTCCAGTCCCAGGCTCCAGGTGGGGTGATGTAAGCTGGAGATTTCTGGCTGAGGCGAGCCTTGAACTTTGGGTTCCTGTGGAGTAGATGACCAGACGCTCTGTAGAGCCAACAGTAGTAGGGACAGGAGAGGGACAGGAGACATGGGCAGCATTGCAGGTCTGGAGAGAAAGCGAAAGAGAAGAAAATATACAAATATTATTCTACAAGTGTTGTTACAGGGATAATCCACCCAAAAATGAAAATTCTGCCAACATTTACTCACCCTCAAGTTGTTGCAAACCTGTATGGGTTCCTTTCTTCAACTGAACACAAAGGAACACTATTGACTTTCTTCTTTTCTACTATGATAGTCAATGGTGCCAAACAACTGCTTCTTCAAAATATCTTCCTTTGTGTTCAGTAGAAGAAAGAAACTCATACAGGTTTGCAACAACTTGAGGGTGAGTAAATGATGGGCGATTCACAAACACGGCGCTACTTTTCCATTGTTTTTCAATGTAAATAAGCTAGACAGACGTATTTGACGTCATAACATTGAGTTATAAGAAATTCAAGTTTTGAGTTTTTTCCCCTATCCAATGCCCAAGCTCTGCGAACACAAAAATCAATGCTGTGTGAATACAAACTGATCTTATTTACTTCATTAAAACATGTTCATAATTCAATTCATAATTCCCCCACACCACCGCCACACACACACACACACACAACACTTCATTCTGGTATAACGCCCACTTTTCATTCTAATCAATTTACTGCGGACAATATCAAGTCCCCTCCAAAAAAATTCTCTCTCTCTCATTTCACAAATGCAAGACTATATTAAAGTGAATCCCAAGGATGGATTATGCTCCTGTGAGGCCCCAGGGTTTTTGGAGACCCCCCAAAATTCATTGATTTTAATTATATTACTGGCAAACATTCAAACAGTGTTTGACTATCTATATAAATTTACATTTGCAGTGCCTTGCTTCTGGATGATTCAGAAACCTCAGCTCAAGGGCCCGGGGCCCAGGCCATAACCCACCTCATAGATATAACAACGATATTCTAAAAAGGAAAAATAAAATAATTCTCAGTTGCCTTAAAAAAAAGTGGTTATCATAGTTTGACCACAGTAGGCTACAATAAAAATAAATGAATATGAAATATAGGTTCTGAAACCTTCTGAATGAGATTCAGTTTAAATGTATTATAGTTTTGCAGAAGTAGCAACTGCTAAACGTGGTTTCTGTGGTGATTTTATACGACTGTCCCTCTAATCCCGACCTCCAATTCGTTTTCCAGACAGTTGCATTGCTGACAGGGCATTAAATAGTAACCAGGCGTCCTCACGACCCCATACATCTCTTAAATCAACATTAAAATCCTCTTAAAACCATAAAACCGAACAGAGTCCTGAGGAAATTTCGCGTTATATCCGAGAGATCACAGAAAAGACCGAGTAAACAAACCAGTTAAACAACAGCAGACGTCGGAGGATATTATACAGGAGGAACAGTAGATGTTGATTTTTTGCGCTTGCTTTGCGCGAGCAGCTGTTCCGTCTGCTCGGAGAACTGAGGGGCAAAAACACAAAGTGAAAAAGTTCCTTGTTTGCTTGTACCGTTAATTAATTAAAGCTTCCTTCTTTCCTCCGGCTTCTTCTGCGGGTTTGAGCTGAAAAATGAACTAACAGGGCAGGTTCAGACGTGACAGAGGAGGGTCTTTTCACAGTTTGCTCACTTTTCTACTAAGCTCTCAATCCGGGTATTTTCCAGCTTTCGTACATTCCATCTACTTTTCTAGCTAAATAAGGCATTCTTGTTTACCTAGGCATTTTTTGTCTATCAGTGTTATTAAGCGTCAGAGTGTTATTTTAGTTTGTGTTTTGACCATCAAAATTTACAAAAAGCCGTTTTTTTACGCAACTGGTTGGTTCCCTCAGCTGTACCTCGAGGAAAGCACGCAGTTACAAACGTGACCGAAAGGGGGCGCGCGCGGACTACTCTGCCCCGGCCCAACATAAGGTCGACTTGTCCTATAATAGTGAATGTATATCCACCCGCGAAAGCATTAAACACACTCCTCTTCCTTCTGATTTACATTTCGAGCTCCCAGTTTTTGGATTTTGCATGTGACATTTCCCAAACATTCTCATAGGAAGCTTAATTAAAAAAAAAAAAAACATAACTGAGGTAAAGTTCAAGATTAGTCAAGTTGAACTGCAAATTGATCAATGAGCAGATAGCACAAGCTGACAGAATCAATTGATGTTTAGATACTCAGAGGCGGCGGAAAAGGAGGATCAGGCCTGGGGACAGACTCTCAGATCACGGCAAAAACACGCCGCAACACTAAACAGCCTGCTGGGACATGACAGTACATAGACTATGCCAATTACTTCTCTAATCCACACTCTCAGATAGTCGTCTACAAAGCACACGAAAGCGTATACACAAGTGCACTCTCAGCACTCTGTGTGGCTGTCACACATACACACACACCGTAGCGTGCACTCATATGTTGTGATGGCTAATTAGACATGCATGCTGTACATATGCTATTTGAATGTAAAGCTGTCAGAGGCCTCATAGTGCATTCACCCCCGACGTGCGCATGCTGATGGAGATACGCCCCTCCTTCACACACACGTGCACTAGCGGTAATGATGACTAATGTGTGCCTGGTCATGGCTGCTTGCTTTATGTGGAGGATAGGTGTAACTGGATACGTCTTAAGCATCTCTGTGGGAGCTGCTGCCTTAAGGACACTGGCAGAACATCACGGTCATTGGAGCTTGTAATTAGTTGCTCTCCCATACTGGTCTACAATCACTCCCTCCCTGTTTTCAAATCAAAACCTTAGCGGTTATAAGAGCCGCAGTAAAACAGATCAGGTTATCTCAGTCAGGCGGGACTGTAATGAGAAGGTTTCACAGATACAGTGGTGCAGGTGATCCATCTACCGCACCTAAACGAGTCCCCGGGGAAACTTCCCAAATCCCTGTGAACCTTGTGGGAGATTTGCATCTTCCCGGGGTGTCACCTTTCACCGGTCTGACACCTTTGCTATTCTTATATCCAGCCTTTGACCTCCTACACACACCCTTAATGTTCATTTCACCTCTATAGACCATTTCACAAGATGTAAACAACACTGGTCCAGAAGCACTTCCTGTTTCAGTTTGTAACTGTTTTCTTTATTTCACATGTAAAGAAAACATCTTAAAGATCTTTGTTTAACTTTTTGAGTCAGTTTTAAATGTTCTGTTGGTTGTATTTTATCCCAGCTTTTATGTGGTGTGTAAAAAACTGAAACAGGAAGTGCTTCTGGACCAGTGTTGTTTACATCTTGTGAAATGGTCTATAGTTGTAGCAATGCGTGGCTTTCCGTTGATGTTTCAAATGCATCACGTCTTATTTCCATTTAGCAGGTCATCCACGTACACAAATTTTCAACATTAGCCTCAAAGTAGGTTTGTGGGTTAAATGTTTGGCCTCGGGGCATGACTACACTGGGTTAGAACACCTAAAAGGGAATGCATAGCTTGTTTATGATGATTTGTTTATGAAGATCTCATATTCTGAGGCATGATACAGAAATGAAAACATTCACTCAAGGAGTGACCTGAACATCTCGGAAAGATTTGACTGAACAAGGCATGCACCGATAAGGAGATTTTGGCAAATACAATAAGGCAATAATTGTTATAAAATGTTATGGCCAATAACTAATAAACGGCTGAGTATAGAAGTATAATTTTCATGTAAGAAAAAAAAAAAAAGAAAAGATTTGCACATTTACTACAAACTAAAATCAAAGCCAAAAGAATTAAAAGAGAAAAGAATATTAATTTTGAGATTTGCATTACATTTAACAGTTATTTAAAGGAGTAGTTCACTTTTAAAAAGACTTTTGCTGATAATTTACTCACCCCCATGTCATCCAAGATGTCCACGTCTTTCTTTCTTCAGTCGAAAAGAAATGAAATGAACATTCCTGGATTTTCTCCATATAATGGACTTCAATGGGAACCAAACGGTTCAAGGTCTAAATGAGTTTCAGTGCAAACTGCAAACTGTTCAAATGGCTTTAAACGACACCAGACGATGAATAAAAGTCTTATCAAGGACCCTTCGAGTCATGACTCGAAAAAAAAATTTGTTCATTTTGAGTCACGAACGCTCCTCACAGAACAGAGCGAGGCAAGCATTTGTGCTTATAAAACTTAAACTTTTTTATTTCTTTTTGAAATGAGCGATCGTTTCGCTAGATAAGACCCTTATCAGGGACGTGCACAGGGGGGTTGCTCAGGTTGCCCGGGCAACTGCCCATATGCCCTTCTCGACTCAGGTTGCCCTTCTGAGGAAAAAAAAAAAAATCGTACAATGAATGTAGGCCTAGACAAAAAAATAATATAAAAATCGCAAAGCCTCATTCACTTAAAAAAAAAGTGAAAGTCAAACTGTTTCCACGAGACCATAGACTGCACGCGACCGGTGCGTATGGTAAGGCACCGCAAATTACTCAGGCCGCGCCTCCATCTCGTGTCGCGCGCTAATTAATGTGTACGAAGTCCATGACAAAATCAAGCGAAACTATCCTTCTCGTCACGAAAAGAGGAAGAAGAAAAACATGAGAGTGAATTGCGGGAACAGCAGTCAGGTAAACTTGTGTTCTCTCCTCTCTAGTGTCAGCAAAGTTTGATGGTTTGTCTGGGCAGGCAGTGCATCTCTTGCATCACTTTTTGCCTGACAAAAGTGAGAGTAAAATACCATTATTTATAACGTTTTGTTTTTGATAAACGACAAAGTGCAACAACAGTGTTTGTTTACTGCAGCTCGGAAAACATAACCGCGTCGCGTGTGTTGCGTTCATATGCGCGTGCACGAAATGAAACTCGCATTTTTCAAGCAGAAATGTGGAGACCTGGGGCCTGTTTCAGAAAGGAGGTTAAGTGAAAACTCTGAGTATGTTAACCCTGAAATGAGGGAAACTCTGGGTTTTCCGTTTCAGAAAGGGAGGTAAGTTAAGACAGCAGAGTAAGTCAAGCCCATTTCTGAAAGAGAGGTAACTTATACTCAGAGTCAGTTACCATGGTAACTTACTCCGTGAACCTAACCTGGTCGGGAGCAGGTTTTCTTCAGTAAACTCAGAGTTTCTTGCGGTCTCCTCCCCTTTTTTTAAAGAGGAAGTGCTGTTAAACACCAACAATAATACTAAAATGTATTTACACATTCTTTAAGGAATATATATTGTTTGTCCATGGTTTAATTGACTAAATCTGTTTTGTAGCACTTTGCCAAAAAATAAAAGGATTTAAAACGTTTGCTAAACTTTTATTTGATTACCACCGTTTTTGATAATATATTTCTATTAAATCATTAAAAAAATTGGAATAAAAAACATTTAATAGAACTCACTTATTTTTCAAACATAATTTAATAAGTTATTAATGATAAAAAATAAGATGTTAATCTTATTCATAATCAATTATTGAAGTTAGTTGATATGTTTTATTGAACAAATGTTTAATTTATTTAACTGTCATTTTAACTGATGATAATAATAACCGTAATTTAAGAATGCAGTTTATATATTTAATAATTGTTTAATACCATAAACCGTGATATTTTCTGAGATGTTTCTCAACTCTCCCCAACTCTTGTCTCATCTCTGACATTTTGCAATCTTTATAAATAATTATAAGACCATAAGATGAGGCATTGCGTTTGGACATAAACACGGCCAGGTAAGGCAATTTGGAAGGGGACAAATTCAACTGAATATATTCCTTCATATAGCCCGTGAGGGGGGAGGAGGGGGGGGGGTGCCCTTTTTTCAGGTCAGAGCAACTGCCCCTCAAAATTCCTGTGCACGTCCCTGACCCTTATTCATCGTCTGGTGTCGTTTAAAGCCTTTTAAAGCGGCACTGAAACTCTCATTTGGACCTTGAACCATTTGGTTCCCATTGAAGTCCATTATATGGAGAAAATCCTGGAATGTTTTCATCAAAAACCTTAATTTCTTTTCGACTGAAGAAAGAAAGACGTGGACATCTTGGATGACATGGGGCGAGTAAATTATCAGCAAAAGTTTTTTTTAAAAGTGAACTACTCCTTTAATTAGTTTTTGCAAAGGTTTGCGAGAATTACTTTAGATGGCAAAGGTATTCTAAATGTAAAACTAGCAGAAATGAGCACGCACAATTATCAAATACTGGCTAATATGCTTTAATATTATAAACAATACTCTAATTTTGGCAGATAATTGATACGGTAGCATTGTGGCGGTGAGTTTTCCACAGGCAAGCACCACCAACACTTTCTTCAGAATGTGTAAAAACTCTTATTACAAGCCTCCCTAAAGGGCACAAATTTGCTTCAAATATGTTGGACGTCCTAATAGTGCCAGAGACAATATACAGAAATAACTGACGTTTACCACTCAGCTTAATTGATTTTCCTCATGGATGCTGTCTTGTAAAACATACAGAGTCCCGAATTCACAGTTCATCTTCTCTTCCAGCCTCTTCTGGACACCTTTAAGGCAAAGTATTGGTGTCCATCCAGTCTCATAACCCACAAAACGCTCTGCCAGCGACAGGAGACGAGAGGCAGGGCCAATGACATTTACGGTACAATAGGCCCCTGATTTACTTTCCGTACGAGCCTGTGGACAGTAAAGCTCTCACACACACACACCTTTACTGCAGGGTCTTTTATATGTTGGAGCCATTTCAGGACAAACAGTGGGGTTGGGCTCCGCCAGTTCATCATCATCATCATCCCTGACCCGTGGGTCCCGCCGGTCCCGTTTCACGCTCAGTCTCCCACATATGCTGGTTTCGGAGCAGTCGCTCTCACATGCATTCAAATTCCCATCACAATGAGAGCTTCTGGAATACCGCTCTGAGATCAGCGTTAAAAGAGGAGATCTGTCAACACCCCGTTGTGCTAGTTTGGATCCGATGCGTTGAGTGATGGACCTATGGCGCGTTTCCCAGTGCTTTTAATCCACGATGACTCTATGGGTCTGACCCGTAGCAGCAAGTAGGCCTGAAAAGAACATAAACATGTATTTCCTCCGTCTCTCCCTTTCTTTCTCACTCTCTCATTCATACAAATACTCACCCAAGGGTGTATAGTCTACAGGAGCGGAGGTCTGGATAGCAAAAAGAGCACAAACACACACACAGACGCAGTTGGGGGGGAAAACATGTTCACAATTGTCAGAAATCACAGCGCCATCTGTTCTCTGTCTTGGATGTTTCCAGGCAGAGGCTTGAGGATTTTCCTGCGAGACGAAGCGAACCGGGCGGCCGACCCTCAGGGCGATCCCGAGTCAAGAACAAGGGTGTCGGGTGAAGGGAGCAGATGACAGAGGTGGTGTTTTTCTGTAACGCCGTCTGGTTAAAGCACACATAGGCAGAGAAATATACAAAACCCATGCATGACATATCATTTTTTCAACATTTAAAAGGTGCATGTATTTCCATCGTATTTAATGCACAAGGTTTTTCCATAATGCCATGCGAGCGAAAACGCAAAGATTTCCCTGCACAAAGCTATACTACAGTAGTGATAATAACAAAAAGATAATTATCTCACAATTCTGACTTTTTTTTCTTGCAATTGCGTGTTTATACCTCCGAACTCTGACTTTATATGATGTAGAGGCCTAAGAATCCCATGTACCCATCAAACATGCATGTGGGTTTATAGGGTTAAGGGCCATTGTGCAGCGATTTAGAGCAACTAAGCGACCCTGAAATCATTCATTTTTAATAAGAGATGGGAAAGGTTGGTGAAGGCAAACCCCGACTGAGCCTGTGGTTTTTCCCAAGTTTTTTTTCTTTATTCCGTCACCTGATGGAGATTTGCTTCATCGCCACTGTCACGTTTTTCCCGCCATTGGCTTTTTGGCCTTTGCTCGTTTAATTGCGGACATTTCATTTAATATTCAACAATATTATTAATCTGCCTGCAGAACTGAACTGAGCTGGACGATGACATCACAGTGTTCTCCAAAATGGCTATATATATATATAAATTAACTAAATTAACAACTTTTTTAAAACAAACAAACAAACAAAAAATCACAGAACTTACAAAAGATGGACTGTGACGCCATTTTCTTCTGGAAACGTTGTTGCATAACCAATCTGTATTGTAAATAAGTGTTATATAAATAAAGGTGACTTGACTATAGACAAGTTTACTAATTTAGCACATTTCCACATCGTTCCAAACCTGTATGACTTGCTCTCTTCTGCCGAACATATATTGAAGAATGTTGCTAACTAAACAGTTTCAATTCCCATGCACTGACTTCCACTGTATAAACAAAAAAAAAACAATGAAAGTCAGTGTGAACCGAAATTCTCAGCATTCTTCAAAATATCTATATTGTGTTCAGCAGAGGAATAAATGTCAATGATGACAGAATTTTTGGTAGTGACTGTTTCTTAAATATCAAACGAGCAATTTACTCATTTTGAAGATCCAGTAGTCCAACAAATGAGGTTCATGTTCCAAGTGTTCACATTATCTTAAAAAAAATGACAAATTCCAGAAAAAAAGTTAAAATAGTAAAATGAAAAATAACTTCTCAACTATTAGTCATGTAGATGTTTAAGTGTGCTGTATAAATTCCTGGACAAATTACATCAGGCATATTACAGTAGCACTGACCTTCGACCTTTACTCTGACCACCGCATAACGAGATAACAAAACATTAGCTGTGTTCGAAATCTTCCACTACTCACTATATAGTGGACTATATAGTGAGCTCGCCATTTTGTAGTGCTGTCCGAATGTATAGTGATGATTATTATACCCTATATAGTCCACTCAATGTATCCCAGAATGCATTTTGAAAAGTAGTGTACAACCGATGGTCACTAACCCAAGCCCTACATAACATCATGCATTGTGTTAATCGTAAAAATGTCGGACGGGCGACAGCAATGACATAATCAACGGCGCCGAGAGACCGAAAGTGGTGTTTCTATTATGCTGGTGAGCTCACTACATAGGGGGTAGGGAGTAGTGCTTTGAGTGGAGATTTCGGACACAGCCACTGACTAGGTGCACACTTACGAATCTTGGCAGATGCACTTCGTCACCCATCAAGCGTTTCATTAATACTACACACAACCTTCACAATTCGCATTTGTATGGGGACACACAGCTTTTAGCATATGTAACGCTCCTCCTCGACCTGCTCCCTGCTGGATGTGAACCGGGGTCTCCGTCGTCAACATGACAACATGACTTTTGCGTAAACATACACACCAATTTCGAGTCAAGTGGTGTGTCATCTTTACGCATTTTGAGCAATCCGCGTGTATCCTTGTGTATGCGTGTATGTCTGCGCCATTAACGTCAGAGTGATTCCGCGTGTCTGTACACGCCGTCAAATGTCCGCAGGAAAAGGAGCAAAATGTACATCTACATCTGAGGAGCGATCTTTTTTTTTTCCTAGGATGGTAAGGGAACAGTCATAAATGCCATTAACCCCAGTGACGGTTAGGTTTAGAGACGGGGTTGAGGTAAGTCATATATTTATACTGTATTTACAGCAATAACGTTAAGTCAACGGCGTTCATAAACACGCTGAAAAGTGATTATGCGTCTTGATAGCACGCCAAAAATGGAAATATGAATTGGCGTGTCATACACACGCTACTTCATGAGATCAGTCTGCCGGCGTGGGAGGCGGGTGGTTTAATAAGGATGCTAAAGCCACTAGCGTCAGTTGCTAGCACCTCTTGAGACCAAGGGAGTGAGGTTTACACAAACAACTTTTTCTGGCCTACCTGCAGTACACTCACCCCTATGGGTGGGACAAAATATCCATAGGGAGATATGTCGTTGTCCTTCTCCATGCGATATTCTGGCACCGAATATCGATATATTAATTAATCAAATAAAGCGGTCTAAATAGATTTCCCTGCTCCCAGCATTGCTACTTTATGGCTGGTGAAAATAAAGTGCGACAATACCACAAACATGCAACGACATCACCCTGATCTCATTGAAAATTTTTAATTTACTTCAAAATTTCATTTACTGACTGAAAAGCTTGCTGTGCTGTTTTCTAACGGTTTGGACTTGAATAAAGAGAGAAAACCCGCACTTAACCTTTTCACTGGCATTTTGTTTTCATAGTTAGACCAGCCCATTCTCATCTAACTGACGCTTTTGACCATAAGTCAACATCCGACGTTTTAGGGTACCCTTTAACCAGTGCCCGAAATGAGTCAAGTCTTATGGGGGGTCCCGGATCCCCCCCCCTCAATTCGAGCACTGCCTTTAACGTCAGTTAGATGATGCTATCTAACCCTACCCCAGACCTAAACCTACCCGTGTCAACTAACTGCCGCTAAAGGTAAAGCATCAGGTAGATGACGCCCTAGGATTGTCATCTAACTGACATTAAAGGGATACTCCACTTTTTTTGGAAATTGGCTCATTTTACCACTCCCCCAGAGTTAAACAGTTGAGTTTTACCGTTTTCGAATCCATTCAGCCGATTTCCTGATATTTAGAAGAATATCAGTTCCCAGACAGTTTCTGGTATCATTGACTCCCATAGTATATTTTTTCCTACTAAGAAAGTCAATGAGACCAGAAACAGTCTAGTTACCGAAATTCTTCTAAATATCAGAAAATCGGCTGAATGGATTCGAAAACGGTAAAACTCAACTGTTTAACTCTGGGGGAGTGGTAAAATGAGCCAATTTCCAAAAAAAGTCGAGTATCCCTTTAAAGGGAACCCTAAAACGTCGGATGTTGACGTATGGTCAAAAGCGTCCGTTAGATGACGTCTTGGGATGACAATGTGTTGAGTTAGACAGATATTGTGATGTATCATTATAGGATTGTCTAGCAATATATTGATTGCTATGTTATGGGTATCGTGAGCCAAGCATCATATCCCGTGATTCAACCTAAACCTCACTCCCACCCGGGTCACGGCACCAAATGTAACGGTCAACTCGACTTGCTAACCCGGGTCTCTGGCGTGCGCACGCACGTGCTAACAAGGACGCTAAAGACCTCAGCCAACATGGGCGCACAGAAACAAGCTGCGAAGTCTCTGAACAGTCTGAGCTAACTCAGACATGATCACATACACATGCTGGTTTAAACAGGCACACCTTCCCAGACAGATGGACAGACACGCACACAGACTTTCTTCAGTTCTCACACTTTCTTGAACACACATGGTGATTTGCTCAAACAGATACACTCAGATACTGTTTTCCCCTCTCCCTCTCTCTCTCTCTCTCTCACTCACTCTATCAACAGAAGCGAGGTTAACTGGAGCAGTTAATTGCTCAGAGTGAGTCAGCGATGAGTGGAGTGTTTGGAAGTGGCACACACTCCTGTGCTGACAGCTGTCTTTATATAAACTGAACACTGCTCAACCCAGAGCGGCTTTCCATCCCAAAAAACCCGACCGGCACGGTTCTGCAACGTGTCTTAGATCAGCGGGGAACGGAACAGACGCCGGAGCGCCTCCCCCTCGCTCTTTCTCTCCTTCCCCCCTGCATCCTTTCTTCACATTGTCCTGCTGTGTTTCCATCTCTCTCTCTCTCTCTCTCGGAGTCTCTCTCTTTCTCCTCCTCCCTGCTCGGCTGCTGCCAGGAGCCCAGCTGGCACTGTCATGTCTGATAGCCTGGAACAGACTGGGCGTGCGGGGCGGGGCGGGAGGGGGGGGGTGATTTGACGACGCTGAAACGGCTACAGCACAATGCATTATGCATTACAGGAGTGTGTTTCCGTGATGCGATAGGAACACGTTCGTTTTTGGCTCAAAGCGGCGAATAAGTATGGTCGTTGTCAAAAGCGGTGATTTGGTGCTCAGGAAACATTTTTTTATTTTTATAAATGTTGAAAACAATTGTCCTAGATCATATATTTGTGGAAATCCTTAAAACATTATTCAAAATTTTTGGGGTCAGTGCACCCAAAAAAATGAACTAGGAAGGATGTGCACTTTACATAATATATTTATATTTAGTTTACTTATAATAATTGTGTTTTTTCACTTGAAATGTTTTTTTTTCTTCTATTAAGGTGTAATTATGTCTCAACTTCTTACGTGTTGTCTAAACACAAACCATTTATGTTAAGTAAAAAATTCGTACATCCAGAGGGTGGCAGTATAGAGCGAGTCAAATGCCATTTTGCCCGAACTTAATTTGATTGTGTTCAATCTGCTTAAATATATGTGCAATTTAAGTTTACTGAATCTGTTTGTGTTGGATTACATGCTTGATTTGTGTCGCATTAACTGAAACTGGGCGGTGCTTTTAGTTCCCAGCATGCTTTGCATATGGTTGAATTAAAAGAGAATAAATGTTAAAATTAAGTGTTATTTTATGTTTTTTTGAGAAA